GGGGGGGGGGGGGGGGGGGGTACCAGGATTCCGGCGATGGCCTTTTCTGTATGATTTGCTTTGGTTTTCAAGCGCCTGTAAACATGTCAAGGTTTCGGGAGAGCAGCGATGGCGGTGGTATATTTTCCCGCCAGGATGGACGTGGAAGTGGGTGTGTGGTGGTGGCGAGGACATAGAAGAGGTGACACACACACATATATTTATTAGGTAGACACGGACTGGGTCTTCACTCTGTGCTTCTGAGCACCCACAACATTTATTTATTTTTTAGAAACATTCGATGAAAACACGCATGGGAAATGCAACACAATTTGGCAGCCGGGAGTTGTGGCTGCTGCTGCTACGGTCTCGACAGCGGATACATCAACCAGTGTATTTTCCTCGTGGTTGGTGCCGTCATGCACAACCTCGGGCCGCCTCGCTCGGTAAACAACCAAACGGCGATCGCAAGGACCTAATTGTCGGCCGTTCGCCATGAGCACCTGGTACTTGTGGGCTTTTCTTCTTGGCCCGCCTAGTACTGAGGTGATTCCTCAATGCCCCCGCAGACGCTGCGAGTGTGGGAGCCATCAGCTGCTTTGTATCTGTTGTGGCTTTACATACCCCTCTTGCCTCACCTCGCTGTAATTTGCCGAGGAAGGGAAAGGAACGCTGACCCTCACAAGCACCGCAGTTATTGAGAGTAGTCTACATTGTAAATCGTGCCAGACAACACACGCGACACATCCTCCAAGCGGTGAATTCTCCGCTGCTATCGTAAGAGGCAATTCCGATGGATTCGTCGCCCATTGGTGGGTATCGAAGAAGTCTACAAGAGGCCCACCGTTCTACCGAGCGCGGATGGTGACATCAACCGGAGACCAGCCAACAACTTTCTAAAATTCGCCCCGATACACAAGTTTCCAGACTCTGTACCCAACTGTTTGGACAAAGCTCAAGGACTCGCTACGTAGAGGCTGTGCCCATCCCCTTTCCACCGGGGACGAAACGAACATCTTCTCCCCGACATATTGCAAACCCACACGAAAACTTGCTCCGCAAAAGAGGGTGGTGCACCCATGGCAGGCGGGATACTTCCCCGCCGTGTCGAGCTCTGTTTCAACTCCGGCGGACAGGACACGCCATTATCGCCGACCACGCGAGCGAGAGCGGGACCTCGCCCTCGCCTCGCCGCGGTCATCGCCGTGATGCCTATCCTTCCTCCTGTCTTTGCTGCTTCCCTCTTCGCCCCTCTTCCTGCTGCTGCTGCCGCCGCCGTTGTCCCTGTGCCTCCCGCCGTCCTCCCTGCTGACATCTCGATGGCGTCTGCCATCGTCCTCTACGCGGCCGCCACGCCCGCCGTCCCCCCTTCTGTCCCCTGCCCGGTCCCAGTCATCCCGCCGGCCTCTGCCGGATCTACCGCCGCCGCCGCCGCCACTGCCATCCCCGTTCTCGCGAGGCTCCCGGCGGTGCTCGTGTTCGTCGTCCCGTCTGCCTCGCTCGCCTCTGGCACCGGATCTGTCGAAGCTCTCACTGCGTCGACTCTCCCGACCAGAACGACCGTTGCCCCGGCTTCGATCCGAGTGCGTCCTCCTCTCACCCCCCCCCCCGCCGCCGCCAGATCGGTCATCGGTGACCTCCCTCCGCCCCTTGTCCTCGCCCCTCCCGGTCGCGCTTCTAACGCCGTCGCGTCCGTCATCGCGCCTTCGACTGCCTCCTCGGTGTCTACCGTCGTACCGATCACCGTCCCTCCGGCTGCCCCCGCCGTCGTCGCGGGACCTACTGCCTGTATCCCGGACGGATTCATCTCCACCCCGCCGATCTCGCCGCCGTTCTCCCTCACCACGGCTTTTCCTTGCACCTGCTTCGTCAGCACCGGCCGTTCCAGATGCGGTCGACATCGCCGTACTCCCCGGCATGCTGTGCCCGTTCCCTCTGCCGCCCTCTTCCTGAGTGTCGCCCCATCTATTGCCTCGTTTGTTCCTCCCGGTTGCGGATTCCTCGCCAAACCGATCGCGTGTTCTCTGCCGCTTCGGGGCGCCCTGTCCGCCATCCCCACCCGCAGCGGCGGCGGCGGCCGCGGCATTGGCTTTCGATGCCTCCGCCGCCTTAATGACCGCCGCCGTCGCCAACTCTATCGCGCTCTTCATAGCGAGGTCGGAAGCACCTCCGCCGCCGCCGCTGCCCATGCCTCCAGCGCCTTGCACGGCGCGAGGTGAAGGTCGGGCGGAAGAGGTAGCGTTCGGCACCTGCTTCTTGTGCTGCGCGCCGCCGTTGTCGCGGGGCTTGGCAGTGTCGGCGCGCCTGATCTTGACGCTCTGGCCCTTGAGATCGTCCATGTGCAGCGTGAGCGCCTGCAGCACCCCCGAATGCTTGGCGAAGGCGACGAAAGCGATGCCTCGCATCTTGCCCGTCTCCTTGTCCTGAGGAATGCGGACCTTCCAGTTTCCAAAGAAGAACCGGCGGAAAATGAAAGGCACCCACCCACCCCCAGACGCAGGAAAGCGGGGTGGGGCGAGAATGGACGGAAAATTGAATTTCGCGACCCAAGGCAGAGACAAAAAAAACGTGGGTGCATGCTTGACTTTCGGACACGATCTCCGGCAGGGGAGAGGAAACATACATACGGAGGGCACACACAAACCAAAAAAGAATAACGAAACAAGAGCGGCGTTTTGTCAGTCGTAGACACGCGTCCCATGGCGGCAGCGATAAAAAGTGGAAGACGTGGGGAACACGGAAAAACGGCGTGGCATCCTGACCCGTGCTGGGAAGGTTCAGCGCCCACATGTGTCAAGCAGAACGATCAGGAGAACGGCACTCAATGCTTGGGGGCACGGGGGCACGGCATACGTCCAGGATAAAACGCGCGTGCGACGCAACACGAGACCGGAAAGAGCATGGCGCGCTCACAGTCGCAAACTTCCAGCCGTTCATCAGAGATCTCGGTTCCACCGTCGGAAACGCCAGGGAGGCGAAACGGGGCCAACAATCGCCTAGGTTCAGCTTGAGCCAGATCACACAAAACGACACCTCGGTCGCGCGTCCGCGTGGGGCTACAGAAAATACGTATGCACGTGCTGGACAAAAACACATGTAGTATGTATTTATGCATATCAACTCAAAGGTAGCCAGAGCACGTACCGACGCGATCGCTCCACACTCCGCGAAGAACTCGCGAATGTCGTCTTCTGTCACCGAGGGATCCAAGTTGCCCACGTAAACCTGGCCGTACAAGAGAGTGCCCCAGCGAAACGCCAACGACAACATCGGCAGCAGCAGTCGGCGGAGGAATGTTTGTCAACTGCAGAGTTTAAGTGAAGGTCGGTCGGCTTGATTTGAAACACGAAAATACAGAAAACCTTTTGTGGCCTACCTGCTGTTGTTTTAGCATGTGTCTTGTGATCGTCGAGCATTTCAGCTCACCGAGATGTCACACCAAGGGCTATGCATACGTGCGCACGGCCATCTCGGACGGATGTGACGGACTGGTGCGTTGACCTCTTGTTCGGAAACTTGAGCGGGGCAAAAAAAAGTCGTCGAAACGGGCGGTGTGGTTCGCCCCCCAAGGCTTTATACAAGACGCCTTGGCCGGTCTGGCTCTTCGCTTCGCATACCGTGTGGGACTACCCTGCCGGTTTACCTCTTCTTCGGAAACGAAAAAACATGGGGGTTGGACTTGTGTGAACTCAACAGGGCCTACGCCATATCGGTCCTGTGTGCGTCGGCTGCTGCTGTCCTGCCTGTTCCCCTCGCTGTCTCCTACAGCTGTAACACTCGCAAGCTAACAAAGCGCACGAGCTGGACCGGCTGCGTTGTTTCCTGGATCCTCCCGTTTTTCACTGCTGCTTGCAGCTTCCACCTATCCCACATACCTCCCTGCCTTGTGCTTTCTTGTCCTCAACAAGAAGTAACGAATTGCGGTGCCGGCAAATCGAAACGTTTACTATTCACGCTCACTCACCGTCGAGTCCGGATCGGGCTGTGCGGCGGACGCCATGGGATCAGACATGCTGGCGTACAGCCGTCCTTTCTTGGCTTCCCTCAGGTCCGTCTCGACTTGCGTGAGGGTGTACGTGCGCTTTGACTTGGCGAAGGTAAGGCCAGCACCGCCGGCCTTGATGGGCTCCGGAACATACGGTGATAGCCGCTGCGGTATGGGAAACCGTGCCCGCCAAAAAGCCGACATGAGACGCAAAAACAACCACACACAAACAGCAATCAGGGGTGGGGTGGGGGCACAACTGCCGAGCAATATTACCCCACCAAAGACATGAACCAGGAAAGGAACAACAGGCAGGCCACTTGAGGTAGATGAGCAACGTATCCAGTCGTCACGATCGTCGTTGTCTACGCCGTGAGGTATAGAGAGTCAACGCCGTGAGGAATAGAGAGACGCTTGGATAAAGCTGTCCGTGTCGGTGGTGGGGGGTGCACATTCGTTGTTGTGCTTTACTGAAGCTGCGTTTGTCGGTTTGGGCTCGGTCGTGCTGCGACCTTCACCGTGGCTGTGACCGATATTTGCATGGAAGGTCGATGCGCGTAGAAAAAACATGGGTGGAGCAAAGAAAAACCAACACCGTCACCAGCAGCACCACCACCACCAGAACCTACCAACGCCACTTTACCAGGACCAAAACCAATGCTACTCGCACGACCAGCAAAACGCCTCAGATACGCAAAACTGCATACACATGTGCCACGAGTACATACAGCAGCCAGGCTCATTGGCCAACCGACAACAACTACAAGATAATACACAGAGAGGGCTCGCTTTCGCTCACCCGTCCATCAACGAAGGATCCGTTGGATGCGCCCAGGTCGACGAGAAACGCTCCGAAACACCTGTCCACCACGAGGAGGGCGTGGGACCGGCTCACGGAAGGGTGTGCCATCACCACCTCGTTGTCCGCCAGCTTGCCTGAACAACGGTGGGGGGGGGGGGGAAGGGGTAGACAGAGTTAGCACCAGAGAGACGCGGGGACAGAGAGGCCGTAGAGGAGAAAGCAAAGCGAAGCGACGGCGACATGTGTGCTAATAAAATCATATACTGTAGTATCACACACATCAGAAAGCGGGGTGCTCCGGCTCTGCTGGTGGGCTTCTCACGCGCAGCACACTCTTCCCACACCATGAATTGTGCAAAATAAGAGCAATCCCAATGCACAGACTCTGCGATCTCTCTAGTTTCCTGCCATTTCCTAGCGAGTTTGTGCCACCACCATTGTTCGACTCACGCCGCTGACGTACCTCCAGATAGCGACCGGACGCGCGTCTCGCTACCGAAAAGCAGACGAACGCGCGTACGCCTGTGCCGCTATTTGTTTGGCGTGCTCTCGCTTACGCACGTAAAACTGCAACAACGCCACTACCCTGAAGATACACTTCCAGTGCGTGGGGTACGTGATTGCATGCACCGGTTACGCGTTGATACTTACAAATGGACAAAAGGCTGCATGCTGCTGCAAGCTCCGTTTCGATTATTCTGATGAACGAATTTTCTTCGAAACAGCACTCCGACCAGGTACTCCACCCAGCTAGTCTGACGTCTGATGCCGTAGAACACCCCTCTCCTCCTTCGACCTCAGCTACCAACACCCCCCCCCCCGCGCGCGCCGCTCACCAACAACGACGACCGGCCCTCCCTCCAATCAATCATGCTGCGCCCACCACGTTACCCATCCATCACTTAACAGTTGCCCCGATCTATCTCCGAAAAACAAAAAAAAAACACTTCTCGCCCCCCAATCCCAGCGCCCACCCAAAGCTCGCGCCCGCTGCCTCACCCATCCTGATGACCGGCTTTCCCTCGAACGACGGGTCGGCAACGATCTTCCCGGCCTTGGACACCGCGAACCCCACCATCACGTCAAGCGGGAGGGCCAGCTGGAAGCGCGTGGCGCACCACGCCTCCGTGTCCTTGCCTGCGAGAGCGTCCGCCCGGACCCGTTCCAGGAGCTTGCCGAGCTTGTTCTCACCCTTGCCTGTTTATTAATTTTTTGTGCATGGCACCGACGATCGGATTGTTACAATGATTATTTTCTCTGCGCGCGCAGCAAACGGACGGGCAGTCGGTGGTGCGTCACCCGGCGTGGTGAAGCACGCAGGCGGGTGTTTGTTTTGTTGGGTGTTGCTGTGCTTGACCGGAGCACAACTAACACAAAACCGTACGTTGCACCCGGACCTGTCTGGACGGAACAGGGGAAAATCGGGTGACTCTGGAACTCAGTAAACCTCGTCCCCTCGTTTGCTCTCGCCTTTACCAGCTTGCCTCGGTTTCCATGGCCGCTGCTCGCTTGCATGAGTCGTGTATTGTACGTGTACCATGGTACATAAATATTCGCGAGCTGGTTTATATTCTTGAGTTGAAGTCAGGGATTGATGACGGAGCGAGCACGTTGGCCGTGCCACCATTCTGTTTTGTAATCCCACTACATGTGCATAAAATTGTTGGTGTTTCTTCTGTGAGCGGATGTGGACGCAAGAGCGGATACACCTGAATTCGTTGCTAAATAAATTAACAGCAAGTGATGCCGAGTTGCGCCATGTGGGTTTGATTCTTGCGTGTAGCATGGAATCTAAAATGAGGGAAGGAAAAATCTGTCTTGGAAAGCCTGATCGAAGTGCAACACCGCCGGAACTTTTACTTTGCAATCGTGCTCTTGTCTGCTTGTCTGTGGACGCTATACTATACTGCTGCTACCCTCTGGGGGGGAGGGGGGTCCGTAGTCTGCAAAGAAGCTGCAAGCGATACACTTGAACCTTCATTCAACGGCTAAAGCGGGAGCACAGGGACCGTTCTCTTTTCTTCTCTCGGACTTCTGCACCAGGCTCAACGCTCAACGGCGCGCAAAGAGACAACAGAGACAGCAGAGCCTTTTTAGCCTCGACGGAACCAACACTACAACCACAACGGATGACAACGACGACAGCACCACAGCAGTACCAACGACACACGAACGAGACACCGGATCTGGCCTCACCGGTACACACTCCCCAAAACCGATCGTCGTGAGTGTTGGTGTAGACAAGCTTGACGCGGCCAGTCCCGACGAGAACTTCCCTCGCCTTGGCGTTTCGCCGAAACTTGTCTCGCACCAGGGCCTCCGCGATCTTCTCGGAACTCCCTCGCCAATCCGGCTTTGGCTGCGGCGTTTCGTTGAATGGAAGCGTTCATGACGTTCGCGACAAACTGCGGTAGTATCCAGCTTCAGACGCACGTGCCCCACTGGCGCAATTGCACTCTTGAGGTCTGTACAGCATGACAGCTATACACGAACTACGTCAACATGCTACGGCGGTGGTTTCGCACGCTCCCAGTGGGAGAACCCAACAGGTTAGGCGGGCAGGTGTTTCGCTGACCAATTGTAACGGAACTTGGTGTGCAGCAGCGCCAGCGGTCTCGAACAAGAGGGTGCCAACGCTCGCCCGGATAGAAATTCTGCAGAGTAGCAGCAGCGTGTCTGGATACAGTCTTTGACCTAACACCACTGCATTAAGACCGGAGGGATTCACTTCGTATTACCTCTTGGTCTCCAGGATATACATGTACGCCCAACCAGAACTCAGCCAACCAAGGCATCTACCACCAAGTGCATGTCTTACGAAACCTGCGCGTAGATATCACCTACGACCCCTTGTACTTTGTACCCGTTTTCATGTCAACCTTCCTCCCACCTTGGCGACCCGTGCGATTTTTTTTGCCTCTATGGCATTTTTGGCCTGTCTGATGGCGGCCTTCAGCTCGAAGTCGTCCGTCTTGGATGCCTGCAAGGCATGCTGTCTCGCGGAGGGGACGAAACGGCAGGGTGCAACCCCAAGGGAGAGGCACATAGGTGAAAAGAAAATGGTGCAACCCTGAGCCAAAGCTGTCCAAAATTCCGTGGTTGCGACAGCAGTGCAACGTGACTACACATGCCTCCACGGAAATACGATCGCTCTTGGGAACCGTCGTTGGGGAATGGTTCAGGCCGACACCATTTCGCTAGACTCCGGCAGGTAGCCTTCTCTCATCCGAGACCCTTGACTCTCGCACATTGCAATACCTCTCCTTACCTCGACGCTTGGGTAAGGCTCTGGGTCTCCGCGCAACGAAACGGGGCACTTGTAGGTGTTGGAGAGGCACTCGAAGTCTCCCTCGAATTGACGGATGGCATCGGCGTGAGAGTCGTGCTTCGGCTGGCGCGGCGGGGGGTCCGTGAGATCGAAAAAGAGGCAACGAAAAAAACAAGAGCAGCTGCTGCTGTGAATGCCAATGAACTACCAGGAATAGGCCAACGAAAACACAAGCAGTGTCGCGTGCGATGTGCGCCAAGCTCTGGGCAGGCCGTATGTGAGGGGTGTACCAGCGTGGTATCCGTGTGCTCTTGAACAAACGGCAGGGGAGCAAACGACGGCGTCAACACGGACACTGCTGTTAGAGCTCAACAACACGCCATTCGCTGAGAGTACTATGTTTAGCGCTTTGACAAGCACCAGCCTGAGGTACCTGATGCAAACGAAGCTGGCGCACGGACTTCTACTGCTGTTGGCGATGGGCTCATTGCACCATACTTCTATGAGACAACAGGATCACCCCCCAACAGGATTGTTGCAAACCACAGACTGTACATGTACCTTAGAATGGACGATGTACACCGTGTCAGGATCGACGGACATCGTCGGTAGCGTTGCTGTCGCACGTGGCCCTGTGGACCAGTGAAGCTGCGTGTGGTGAAGATCAGCCGAGAGAGCAAGAAACAGCAGTAGCAGCAGCTGGCAGACACAGCTAGAAACAAAGTGCAAAGCGGGGTCATCATGTCCACAGCAAATTGTGGGGGGGCAACGGGGGCTCCGTGTGATCTCCCCGTTGTTTACGTCTCCTCGCCCCGACGCAGCTGCGCAGTGCTGTCAGCTGTGTGTGCGTGTTGTCTGCTGTCCCGCCGCAGAAGAGGAAGCTCACACCATGAATTCTCTACGATCAGGTCTCAGCTCCAGAGTGGTGGGTGGCGTGAGACCAAGCCTGAAACTAAGGCGTGTATCTGCAGCTAGTTCTTCTGTCCGGCAACGGAGACAAGCCGAGGACAGCGGGAACTTAACCCCTTTTTCGTTCGAGAGGAAGCAAGTCAACTCGAGTAGCATCAGCGCTGCGGGCTCGTGCCGTTGGTCTTCTTCCTCCACGACCATTAGCAACGTTGGTCTCCCTGTACCTCTTCCTTTCGAGCAGAGCAAGTGAGTACGGGCATGTGGGGATTAGGCTGGCCCCGAGGTGTATTGGTGAGTGTTCCGTTTTGACGTTTTGACTCCCGGTCGCAAGTAACATGCAACTGCAACTACGCACGTTCATTTTGGTCCAGTACCACCGCAGTAGTCATGGCATGGTACAGCAGTTGAACAGCAGGTTACGGCTCGCAGGGAACGAAGAAGGCACGGCAGCAGATATGGTAAACACGAAACTCATGTCTGTGGCTCCTTCGATTGGGCGGTAGGGGTCCAGGGACGTGTGTTGTGCGCTGTGTGTCCAAAGATCACTGGCGCTTTCACGCCTTGTACTTTCGCCACAAGGAACAAGGAACCGCCCGCGAAACGCACCACAAGGTTCGACAGCAGTTATTTTGCATACCGGTCCGGCAGTAGTCGACTGAGTCCCGTGAAGCGAACTCCAGATCAAAAGTACGAGGTGCTTGAGCCGAAGAACTGAATCCGCACTACAGTAGTGGTCCCGGTATAGTACCGGCCCGGTATAGTACCGGGCGAATAATGCCGGTTTCCATGTGTATAAATGCCAGTGAAATCGTCTCTGGCGCAGATGGAATATTCAAGTTGTTTCATGCTCCATAATGCCGGTCGCCTCAATAATGCCGGTGATATCGGCTGGATCGCACCGGCGTTATACCGGACCACTACTATACCTGCTATCTATGCGTCGTGAACGCATGAGAACATGAGCCAATCTGTCTACATGTAAGTTGCCGGAAGCAGTGTCACGAGTAACACCCCTTTGAACCCGCTGAAGTCATTATTCCACATGGTTTGAAAGCAAGTCCTCTTTGCGCCCATGACCACGAAAGAGGCGTTGCTATGCAAACACATGTTTGTTTGTAAAAAATTGGGTTGCGTACACAGCACAAGTAGGGTCATTGGTCAATCGGTTAGCGCGGTCGATGATGATGGAGGATTTCGATTGACACAACGTTGACGAACGCCAAGATCCGCGCAGAAGAAGCAACCAAGATCTTTCCCTTGAGAAAGAAGCCTCATAGCAACCTGCCGGTGTAGACTCGTCTAGTCTAGAGGACGACGTCGAACTGGACGTCATGCCCCACCCCACCCCACCCAGGAAAGACAGTGTGCAATTCGACAACGCGGAAGGTGGTTTGCCGGTGGGATCATTGTGTATAGTTTGGAAAGCGTTCATTTCCAGCACGCGTCCTATGCTCGTTTCGTCGCCTGGGGGTGTCGATGGGAGGGGCGGCGGTTAGTGGTTGGCGTACGATTTGGTTTATGGCCGGCTCACCAAAAATTGGCATCATGGTCTTCATCCCTCCCAGGGGTTGGTCAAACCAACGGTCTGCTAACACTGCTGTTATGGTATCATAACAGTCCCTCCCGTGGACCTGTTTCTCCTCCTGCTCTCTTACGCGCTGACGCCGAAAACAGGTTCAACAGCGCAACGGTAGACATCGCCAAGATTCAAGTGGAGGACACGGCCGACTTCGCGCTCAAGCTCTTCGCCACTGTCGACAAGCTGCGCAAGGATGGCAAGGCGGGTGAGACAGCGACCAACAGGGACGGCGAAAGAAAAATAATGGGAGAGACAGAGGCACCGAGATGAACACACCGAGAGGTAGCCGGACGGAGAGCGAAAGAATGGCAAGAGACACACACACAGAAAGAGAGGGGAGAGAGAGAGAGAGAGAGAGAGAGAGAGAGAGAGAGAGAGAGAGAGAGAGAGAGAGAGAGAGAGCGGGTCGTGGTGTTCTTAGTTTCCCGAGTGCATTGCACAGATCGTTGTTGTATCGGCGGGGGGTTGTTCTCGTGGCACATGTACAGGGCAGCGGTTCGCTCGATGTGTCTTCTTCTGTCTCCGTACCAAATCCCGATCAAAATGAAAATATTGAGAAAATATTTCATAACTCTCGTCCTCTGCCATGCTGCTGCCGCTGCTGCCGCTGCTGCCACCCGCTCAATATCGCCATGCGTTGGCCCTTTTCTACGGGCACGACAGCGCTGTGGCTCAAGGTACCGACGGACTTCTGCCACTTCATCTCGATAGCGTCTCACTATGGCTTCCAGCTTCACCACACGCAGCCCAAGTACTTGATGATGTACCTGTGGTTGCCTGAAGACGTGCCGGACAAGGTTCCCCCGTACGGCACGCACCACGTCGGCGTCGCAGGTTCGTTTGTTCCGTTGTCCTGCGCCACCGGTGGTAACAGCACCAGCAGCAGTAAACGCCGTTGGCGTTGGAGGCTGTGAATATATATGGCTGCGCGAATGCCAAGGGATTCCGTGGCAGCGTTGTGTCTTCATACGTTGTTGTTCAATGCGATACGCCTCTTTACCGTCCTAACGAAGATGCCCCTTGTGCTCATAGGGTTTTCTTGTCTTGCACTGGGAGGAACCGATCCAACAGTCGACCGAGCGCTGCATGGAAAGTGCGAGGAATCTTGCGTGAACTTGACGAAGTACACAAATTGGGTTTTGTGTTCCCTACGCCCGTCCTACGCCGGTCTCCGAATCTGGTTGAGTTACACACGAAGGCATTTGCAACTTGATATGTATGCAGACGAGTCCAGCTTCGCGCGTCCGGTGTCCCGCAACCTCGACGGTGAAGGGCATGGGTGCATACTCAACAAGAGCAGAGGGATGTTTCATAATTGTCAAGCTAACGACTGCTACAACAGTGGCATGGAGGCAGAACCGACGACAACTGTCCGCCCTCATTCTCTCCTTCCCTTTGCCTTGTCTCGCTTGTGTGCGTAAAAAAACAAACGTCAACCAACACGCAACAAATTGTTGCTTCCCCACAGGTTGCGTGATGAACAGCCAGGACGAGGTCCTGCTTGTCAAGGACAAGCACAAGGGTGCAATGTGGAAGTTCCCAGGAGGCCTGGCGGACGTCGGGGAGGGGATCGGGGAGGCGGCGGTCCGCGAGGTGTGGGAGGAGACTGGCGTGATGACGGAGTTCCGCTCGGTGCTGAGCATGCGGCATCAGCATGAGGTAGACCCCAATCCGTTTCGATTCTGTTTTACGGCCACCTGAACAATCCCCCTGAGCCTTTTGTGTCCTCCTGCAGATTGTAGACCGTGTAGATGATACTATTTTTTGTTCTAATGTATCGGCACGACGGGCATTTTCCGTCGACAATTTAGGGCAAAAGAGCGATTTGTGTTCTCGGTCGACTTGAGGTGTATCAAGCTGGACGAAAGCTACTCCTACTTTGGCATGTTCTCATTACGTCGCGTAGAGCGCACGCCAACGAGGTCAAGCTAACAAACGAGTCTTCTCAAATCCCTGTAACCACGAACCTTAAGGCATAAGAAACGCTTCAATGATACTCGCGCCACGATGTTTTGACCGTTCCCCGATTTGATCTCAAAAGTTTCGTGGTGTGCGTATCTTGCTCAGAGTTGGTTTTGAGGTAGGAAATTACGTTTCGCCTGCTGTAAGAGGCTGTTAACAGTCCATTTGAGTTGATCTCTCATGGCCTGCAAATCCCCGAAAAGAAAAGAGAAAACGGAGGGCGGCGGTGGTGTGTCGCTCTGTGCTGGTCTTTACACGTCACCTCCAAGTGGTCGGCAAAAAGGAATCCCACTGGTGGATGTGGTTTTAGTCAATCTCGATATCTCTTCTACACCGGTTTCAAAGGTTTAGCACGTGGTACAATATCTCGCAGTCGATCGGGTAAAGGAAGCGAAATAACTGGATCCCTTCACGGAATCACCTGATTCTCGTGCGAAACGAATTGAAGAATCCACAGACATGACTTATACGTCAGATGCTGAGGCTTCCCATACGCCTGCATGCAAGGCACCGAGCGGGTACACCAGTCCCTCCGCACAGCGCGAAATATGACAAAATGTTCTCTTTGACGCGATTCGTTAGGTACTCTAACGTTTCCCTCAGCTACCCTGTTCTATGTGTCGAGCTTTCAGCGGTTAGATATACACGGGCTCACCATGTCACTCTCTATATGAAGATAAAACGTTCTCTCCGTTAGCCATGCCGTACCCCCTTCCGGATGCGCCTTCACGCGCAGATTAAGCGCCCTGTTAAATGCAACGTGCCGCCAAACTGGGTAGTGGGTGAGGTGTCGGCGGTTCTATCTGTGATGTCGACCTGGGACCAAGTGCAATCGTCGATATTGCCGACCCAGACAAAAAACAAACGTTTCCAGACCGATACCAGACCTTCATCAGGCGGGTGGATGAGGATTACTAGTTATCCTGGGGCTCACGTGTGTGGAACTACTCCTTAACCCTCGTTCACCGAGCAAAAGGCATTGGTCTCTTTCTCTCTCTCTCTGCCCCGCACTCTAGCCGCTGCACGATTTGTAGTGTTGGAGTCGCAAGCGACTCTAAGAATGAACGCAGCCCCTCTCAAGTCCGGCGCAAAGAAACAACTCCCCCCCCCCCCCCTGCCATCCGTAGGTAACAACTCTCCTGTCATGTGTCATTTTCTGTCCAGATGCAATTCGGCAATTCGGACCTGTACTTCATCTGCCGGCTGATGCTCCCCGAGGATACGGGGGCGCTGGACATCAACAAGTGCAACCACGAGATCGCCGACGCGTGCTGGATGCCCCTGGACCAGTTCAAGAAGCAGACCCGACACTCGATGCTGGCGGTCGTGGCGGACATGCTCGAAAAGCCAGAGGAGAAAGAGCTGACGAGGTCAGAGGCCTGGTCTGTGGTTTCGCCAGAGTAGCAGGCTGTACAAGCAGGCGAAGTGGGCTAGGTATCAGTGCACACACGATGATGAGAAGCAGAAACACGGGTTGGCGGCGCAAGACCTACGCTCCTCATTAATATGCATCACGGTGGACCCGGCTATGAACACAGAGTGGGAAGAGAGATAGAAAGGACAAGAACTAACTGCGTGTGCACTCATAGTAGTCGAGCTACGTAGAGAGTGTTGGCCGTGGGCATGCTTCTCTCTTGATATACTCAAAGTTCGTTGCCCACCCCTCCACAACGCTCGAGACTGTAAGCCTCGTGTCGGACGGGCATGTGGACACACTGATAAAAGGGAACAGGCAAAAAAGTCTAACTGGGGCACGAAGCTCGCCAAGGCGGAGGAAGAGTGACAAGGCCGACACGCCCGTGCTTGTTGGTGATGTTTTCTCAGGCCTGTACTATCAATGTTTGCCGAAGAAGAAGCACCCGAACGAGCCATCTCGCCTGACGTGACTTGTTGAAGTATACCCCTCGCTTCGTGCCCCCCATCCGAATCGCTACGTGCCTTTCTCCATCCCTCATGGCTGTGTCTGTCTGTCTATCTCTCCTTGTTGTGCGCCCCTCTTCAGGAGTCTACACGAATCGGCGATTCCCGACCGAGCACCATACTTCCTTTACCACCGTCACTCGTAACACGCGAGAGGAAGCAGGGCAGGAAGCACAGCATACCCTCCTGACGCTGTGCATGGAGTCACTGCTGCTGTGGTGTTTGGGCGTTTGTCGGTCGTTCTGCAAGACTCCTGTTCGCATGTATGATGCTACTGGGCGGAGGGGGGGGAGGTACTGATCTTTCATTTGTTCCTGGAAGTCTGGCTTGAGCGGAGAGGTTGGCTTTGAGTAGGCAGTGCGGCGCTCTTGTTCCGAGCGGAATTCTAGCTCCGTTATTCTGCCTACGATTTACGGGAGGTAGCGGGGAGTGTCTGGCATCCCAAAGGCGTTGCTAGGGGTTTCCCTTGTCCGTGAGCCTGGGTGCGCGAGGATATACCGAAACAGGTCAGGCGGGCATTTTCATGTTTGTGTGTGTTTCTTTGATCGCGGTGTCTGCCCGCAGCACCTTCTGGAACCATACTTCGGTCAATGATCCACGGTACTGGCGGAGTTTTCCGGAGTTTGCGGTCATGGTTTACATGTGGTGCGCCAGGTATGTACCACGGCTCAGATAACTTATTTTCTTCTTTCCTCAAGATGCTTCCACGTGCCACCAAACTCAAAACATGTCACCGACTATCGCCCAATAAGTTGCCTTTTACAGCAGCGGACGAGTTGTTTTTACTCAAGCGGTAAGTAGCGCATCTAATCAAGGCAGCAGCCAAGCTTCGCCATCCCTGATCGGTGGCAAAGCCGCTGATGTCGTACGTCGGGGAGGGGCGAGGGTCAGGTCTGGATGGCACCTCTCGGATCAATCCGCACGATTCTAGTCTACACCCTCGGCTCTGCCTCACATACGCGTGCTTGTTTTCGTAGGCCCCTTGAACAAAAAGGTCAAGGTCCTAGGCAAACAGAAAATAAACTATGGCGTTAACAATCGCGGTTCGAGAGGATGATAAATCCAAGATGCCCGCTTGTCAGACAGGACATCCTTTCAGGGGGTGTATCGTGGTCCTTTCTTGGTTCTTTTCGTTGTTAAGGCGCTGCAAATACCACCGGCCGGGGTGAGTATACCTATTCCCACCCCAAACCTGCCGCCGTCTGGTCCATGGTCAAGCACTGTGAAAGAACAACAATACAGAACATGTGATACGCTCGCATCGAAATCCAACCGGCTGCGGGTCGTATCCAACTGGCTGCAGGTCGTACCGCACCCAAAGCGGTTTCACCGGCAGTATCGCTGGCCATTCTTCCACCGTGGATATTCTCTGTCGAAAGCACATACTCAGTCTCCCCAGTCTTCATTCCCCTTGTTTTCTTCGCTGGCGACGGTACTCCCTATCACATGGCTGCCCATCACGTGAGCCCCCACGCTATGTTGCGTTCGTGTACCCCGGTGTGTGCATCCCACAAAAAAGCGACAACGAACAGCAAGACGCAGGGCTGCAGGACAGCACAGTAGGCCACAAGTGCGGTGCGCGCAATCCGGTGTAGCACCTACAGATCAAGCAATCTGCAACCGCGCTTGACCAGCTAAAAGTCACGTTCAATCGTGATACCTTCTAAAATCAACCTCAATCTCGGAATATATGCAATGAATCTCTGCTGATCAAAAACAGACCACGTAAAACGCAAAAAAACTCTGTCTCGTTCTCTCTCTCTCCCCCTACCCCATGCCACACACAAATGATGGGTTTGGCGATACTATCGCAACACATACATGCAGACACACACGTGTACTGGTACATCAAAAGAGCGCTATCGTGCCAAGCGACGCACGCGTCGGCATCATATAACAAGGGAAACACAAGGGGTCCTAATCTACACGAACTGACCCTTTTTGGGTTCTGTCACATTTGTCGTGATGACACAACACTGCTGCCTACTCCTCCCCCAAACACCGTCGATACTCCCAAAACCAGGGTAAAGGGGATTGGCCAACAGGAGCCCCCCCCCCCCCGCGCGCAACCTTGTCCGCTTGTTGGACTCTAGCCATCCTCACGTCACGCGGTGGTCCGCTTCTTCCACTCCAGGAATCGTTTGTCCGTCCAGGCCTCGACCTTGTACACCACGCCCTAAATCGTCACCGTGGCATTTTCGGGGGGATTGCAACGGCAGCTTCCATGCTGCCGGTGCCGCCGCTGCCGCAGAGAGACCGCCTTCCTCTCGTCGTCGACGATCCCTTGCGGGATGCCCATCTGCCCGTCGTTCCGGGCTTTGACGCCGTCGAATGAGCGCCAGTCGTCGTCGCACTTCGAACAGTTGAGAGGGGTGTCGACGTTCCCCGGGCCGGTCGCGGTCCCATCTGCCTTCTCGTCGGGGTCTCCGCTCCTACCTGTGGGACGTCAACGAATGGTCGCGGTCGTTTCGTGTCGACTACCCAATACATGTCTACGATAGCGTGATTGTAGCGACGGGTTTTCATCGCGGTTTCCTCGTCTGTACCGCAGAAGAAGTCACCACACCACGAAACAGGCAAATCTGCGGGACATCCAAAGCGAACGCCTCTGTAGATTGCGTCGTTAGCTTCAGCGGTTTGATCCTTACCGACATGAGATAATGTCGACACGACCAACCATGTTGGGAGCTGGGCACGCGATTAGGGGGATGGAATTCTTGCATGTGTTCGAAATACAAACAGAGCAGTAGAGGAGGGACTTACTTGCAACGAAGTAGAGGAGGGAAACGTCACGAGCATGGCGTACCGATTCGATTGCATCACTACAGCAGTGCAGGTAATCTTGAAGCCGCACGTAGTGATTGACGCCGAGCAGCAGGTCGACCCCGCAGTGCTCGAAAACAAAAAGACACGACAGCATTCTGTGTTTATGTGAAGACAGAAACGCTGCCAAAAACGCGTTGCCGCAAAAAAAGGATGGGCACCAGAACGCACCTGCTTGTTTGCAGGTCCCAACTCTTCAGAGGTAGCCCAAAACGGTGCGGAACACTCCCTCTGAGTCTGTCAGGACGTCAAACAGCATCGCCACTAAGCCACTCAAACCCCCCTCCGCCGCCCAACCTCCCACAACTTGGAGCTCATTGTTTTTTCCTCCGCTTCCAGCACCACCACTTCCACCGCCTGCTGTCCGTGGCACCTTGTTACCACCACCACCGCCGCTGTCTTCGTTACGCACCATCATTTGGCCAGCCGCTTCCGTTTCACTGCTGCTGCTGCTATTTACCCCCCTTTCTCTCTCTGTCCTCGCACGAAGCATCACAAGCCAGCTCCGGCGCCGCCACGCCCTGTCCGCCGGAGCATTCGCTAGCAACACATGTGCGCGTTCCACTTCGCGTGCTTTGCGAGAAGAGCTGCCCTCTGCAACACTAAGTAGTGCAGCGGGCGTATTGCCGCCTTTGTCTAAGGTCAACTCTGACACTCCCCACCTCAAGAGCAGATCCACAATCGCATCGAAACCGGGCGCCATAGTCATACATGCCAAGTGCAACATTGTTTTGTCCATTGGCCCGCTGACTTGGCATCCCCGACGCAACAGGGTGTGCACGGCTTGGACACTAGCGCCAAATTCGATGGCCACACAGAGAGGTGTCGATGCACCATAACATTTCCTATCCATGTCGGCCCCGGCGTCGAGAAGCACGTCCATGGCGCCTGCTTGATTCATCGCGCAGCCGGCATGTAAAGCGGTATAGCCATGCTTTGAAGCGTTGACGTCGGCCCCGTGCTCCAGGATGGCTGTTATGACCTCCACCTGTCCCTCTCGGGCAGCCGAATGAAGAGGGGAATTTCTGTGACCGGTACGCATGCTGACATCAGCACCGGCGTTCAAAAGAGTCTTGACGGTGGAGAGGTGGCCCCTCTGCGACGCCACCGTCAACGGAGATAACCCGCTTTTGTCCAAAATGTCCTTGTCCGTACTCGGCATGTCGGTGAGCACTGCCACCACCATGTCTTGGCCCATGTAAGCAGCACGGTGCAGAGGAGTACGCCCCAACAAGTCGCGTGCATTCGGATGAGCTCCGCCTATCAGCAAATCGCTCACTAGACTACAATGCCCTCCAGCTGCGGCGACGTGGAGAGGACCGCATTTTTCAGCAGGGTCAACACGGTTTGCGTCAGCTCCGGCTAGAATAAGCTTCCTGGCGGCAGCTTCGTGGCCGCACACAGCCGACAGGTGCAACGCCGACCTCCTGGACGAGACTGATACCACGTTGACGTCCGGGAGACATCCTGCTCTGAGCAACGTTGTTACGACGTCGGGGTTGCCGCCCAGGGCAGCAGCATCGAGCAGAGTCCGGCCACGGCACCCGCTCCATCCCGCACCGCCATCTGCCCCGGCGTTTAGCAGTTTCTCGACGAGGACAAACTCTCCACGGGCTGCTGCGTGCTCTAGCGGCGCCCGCAGCCACTCTCTCCACTGTTCGGGAGTGGCACCGTAGGATAGCAGCGTGAATATCCCAACCTCTGCCCCTTCCAGTACAGGGCGCCTCGGATACATGCATTGGTGGGATGTGGGAACGAACCACGGTCTGTGACAGTCCCGTGCTTGGTCCGCCTCCTCGTCTCTCGCTCTCTCGCTTCGTTGAACGTTGAACGACGAGTGTTACTGGAGAATACGGAGAGGTGGGCCGGTTCCTGCTGTAGTGGGTCGAATGGAAGGTAGTGTCGTTGTGTACGCAAGATAGAGTGGAAGAGTAGAAGAGGCTGTTGGGATGGTGGATGCGGCGCGAATTGGAGTTGTGGGTGCTCCGCGACAGGAACTCGGGGTACATGTTGCGTTGCGATGGCGTGCCCCCGGAACAAGCCAGCACGGAAAAGCCAGCTGTCTTGTAGTCAGCAGAGAGAAGCCGATCCGTGATTACACAGCACTGCTGCTCCCACCTTCACCTTCCCACACCATTATGTACGATGGTTTTGAGACGCTGTTCGTGTCTTTCCCAGCGCGATACGTTCTACACGTACAGATAAATCGACCGAGCAAGAGGAACGCCATGAACGCAAAGTTTTGGATCGAGTGTCGGGATTGCTTCCAGCTCATCTCGGAGGATGCCGACGTGCGGGCGGTTGTGGTGTCTGGGATGGGTGAGTTGCTCAGACTCGATGAGCACGAAAAGGCTGAGCAAACAATATCATGTACATGTCGCTTTTGTTGTCATGAACTTGGGGCTCGCAAGAAGAAAATAAATCGCCTCCACCATTTTGTCGCGTTTCCGCCGCAGCGCATGTTGTGGCAGCGTTGCCGCACCCCTCTTTTACAGCTGCGTCAAGAAGCGTCAGCTTCGATGTCTGCATGTCGCACTCACTACTTTAGGCAGCCACCTGCTGCTTTGCAACTTTCAAGGATTACAAGCAGTGTGACAATTGCAGCATTGGCGTGGGGCCATTTGGGACACACTTCAGATATCAACAGGGCATAGCAGCGGGGGGGGGGGTTGGCGAACGAGATCATGTGTCATGTACCGGACGTGTGCTTCCTCACAACGGCCGTGATATCAATGTAGCCTTCAATGTCACGAGAGTGTGCAAAGAAGTTGGCACTACCTGCATATGTGTTTTGATCCCTGACAACTTAGACGAGGGGAGACCCCTTATACATCTGTACCGCAGTGTCACTTTCTAGTCCGCCGATATCCGAGGTCTGCACTGGCATGAACGGGGTGGGTGCATGCCGGTTATCTGCGGCGATTTTACCAGGGGGTGAAAGGCCGGAAGGCCGCGGTGTATCATATTAACTACAGCAGTATATACTCACAGGATGTCGTCGTCAGACATACGACTTGATTTTAGTGTACACCAAAGTTAGGTGCCGTTTTTTTTTTTTTGCATGCCGCACAGCAGTTGCGTTGCGACGAAATGCCTAGGTTTGTGGCCACCATACATATGTATGTCTCACGAACTTCGTGCAGCAACGACGACTTGTATCGAACCTTAAGGTGCCCTCGTCACACCCTGTCATGAGTGCACTTTTCGACGGCTCACGTTTGTTTTTAGTGTTGTTTAGATGTTGTGGCGACCACGTGCTCTTTCTGCGTGTACACCAAATTGGTGCCGTCTGTATTTTATTCGTGCCACGCAGCATGTGTTGCGACGGAATGCCTGCGTCGAGGCCACCACATGTCGAACGAAATTTGGTGCAGCTACGATAGGGTGTACTGCACCCTTGCGTGCTATCGTCACACCGTGTCATGGGTGCACTTGACGACGGTTCACGTTTGGGGTTGACGTTGTTTGAAAGTTGTTGCGACCACATGTGTGCGGCACCGATCACGAATGAATATGTACGTATTCGTCTACGGCATGTCGCTTTGCAACCCCGACTTCACTCCTGTCAAACTCCTATCATCTACTGCTTTACTGTAGTGTACAACAACACCCAGTTTCGAACCGGAGTGCAGATGCTGCCTGCAGCGTGACCTTGCTGTAAACCAGGATAGAGTTCACCCACAACTACAACCTCGAACATCACCTCTGTCTGCCCACCTTGCAGCGGTAATCATGACAATCTATTTACATCCAATCTCGTCACAAAGAACAACTTACATCCACTACTGCTGGCTCTACAGCATTGCACGCCCGCCGGCCCTCTATTAAAATACTTCGTGCTACCGCTACAATACACCTGTCATGAGTGCACTTGACGGCGGTTCACGTTTCGTTATAGTGTTGTTTTAACGCTGTGGCGACCACGTGCTGCGTGTGGCAGCCATCACGAATATGTACAGCAGTGCAGTTCGTCCACATACGTCACGTGTCGCGTGCGTTCTGCAACACCGACTCCACTCCTGCCAAACTCTTACCTGAACTACTGCCACACTGTTGTTGTAGTGTACGATAACACGCAGCTTCGAACCGGCGTAGAGATGTGGCCTGGTGTCCTTGCTAGAAACCGGCATGGAGTCTACCCACGTTTACGTGCAACCTCGAACACGACGTTTGGTCACCTCTGCTCCGCGGTAATCATGCCAATCTCCTCAGAAAACACTATTTGCATCCGCTGCCGCTGACTCCGCTGGCTCTACCTACAGCACTGTACGCCGGGCTTCAATCTGCCTTATTCGAAACTGTTCCTGCACAGAGTCTGTGCTATCCGTATTACTTCTGTTTTGTGACTAAAATGTATGCTGCTTGACTGCATGCGTGCGACACCGGCTGAAGATTCTGTGAGACGGATCCATCACGTACATGTAAATCATGCTATGTAATCTAATGGTCACAGGCATCATTTGAATTCCCCGCGGTTGGCACTACAACACGTTCCGCAACCCCCGCCTATGTACTCCACCCGTTGCTTCTGCCGTTCCACCCTTTGTATCTTCTGCCGTCCTACATTTTCGACCCACATTTTCGACCAAGTAGACTTGACATCCACCACTCACTGCTGGCTCTGAAACACTGCACGCCGGCCTTCGTCTGCGATATTTTGCATCAGATCCTCCGACATCTATCATCACAAGCATCACACTGTCCACACCTACCTGGTGCTATAATCATGCCATGTAATCTGCATAGATAGTCTAATCGTCACAAGCATGAATATTTGAACACCGCTGTCGGCACTACAACACGTTCCGCAACCCCCGCCTACTCCACCCGTTGTATCTTCGACCGTCCTACATTATCCACCCACCACATCTTCGTCGGGGCCGACATTAATAGATACGATAAATATATATGGGGGTGTTTGATTTAAGGGCGCGGGGGGGATCGCAGTACCTCCTCTGAAAAACCCAGGAAACGCCTGCATATCTCGGTTTTCCAAAGTCTAACTCCAGTACGAAACTACCATCGTAAATTAACCGTCCGCAGCGGTCGCTTGTGTACAATGTTAGCAGCTGAGATTGTAGGCCTTTCGATACACTACAGACTAGCGGTCCGCGATTTTCCAAACGATCCTTCTATCATCGAGTTCGGTGAGCTACAAGCTAGATTTTTGAAGCTGCTGTGCGGTCCAATTTTGAAACGCTTCAAGCACCTTTGCCTAAAGGCTGGACATGCATATACATGACCCTAGGCAGTCAAATCGACAATGGCGACCAGCTGGATATGTGAGGGAAGAGCTGCGCTGAAGTTCGCGGCCCCATACACTCACATAGGCGGTGATTCGTGTTCACCGTGTGCTTGAAGCGTTTCAAAATTGGACCGCACAGCAGCTTCAAAAATCTAGCTTGTAGCTCACCGAACTCGATGATAGAAGGATCGTTTGGAAAATCGCGGACCGCTAGTCTGTAGTGTATCGCAAGGGGTACAACCTCAGCTACTAACATTGTACACAAGCGACCGCTGCGGACGGTTTATTTACGATGGTAGTTTCGTACTGGAGTTAGACTTTGGAAAACCGAGATATGCAGGCGTTTCCAGGCGTTTCCTGTTTTTTTTAAGAGGAAGTACTGCGATCTCCCGTGCGCCCTTAATTAATTGTTTTTGGGTTTTAAATTTTTGGGTTTGGGGAGTACATATCAACGACCGCCTGGCTAACAACGCAAGTATTACTCATTGGTTAACACATACGTACCCCAAATTCCGTTGTATCTGACTGCCACAACCAACGACACGCACGCGTATTTGTTTTTCTCTTCGAGACTTCGCGCCATGCCCGGACCCATGCAGCAGCCAACAATTAGTTGTGGTCTACGCAGTGGACGTTTCACATCCTCCACTATCGTCTGCATTTCGGACGCGATTCACTCCATTATGGAGAGACAGTATAGTCGACGCCGAAATCCCGTCATGATACTGTCCGACATTCATCCGCCATCCATCACTAGTGTCTTGCCACGGGAGTCTGGCCACCCGCCGCATGGGGGGCGGGGGGCCAATCGTTGCCCCTAGTATACCATACGCAAAGCCCTCGCATTTATCACCCGAAATTCGAAAAGGCGAAACACCACCAAACAATCACGGCAACAAAATTGTCACACCCGCACCTACCCGCGACTGACTCTTGTAGCTCTCGTCGTGCGTACCCTCTTCGCCTTCACCACAAACTACGCAACAGCCCCACGACACGACAACAACAAAACGCCGTTCCTTTGGTTCCCCGTCCTCTTCTTGAATTGCCCAACAGGCGACCACTTTTCCGCGGGATTGGACCTGTCCGACACGACCAACTTCGACGCCATCGGAAGGGCCACGAAGGACGTCGCTCGTCGAGCGTTTCGTTTCCGAAAGCTTGCTTTGGCGATGCAGGTACGTACGTAGTTTTTGCTTGGTTCGGACGTTCGTCGGCTCGAGTATGTAGATGCTTCTAATATTGCCTCCGATTTGCGTACGGCCTTCGTCAAACGTTGCCCCCTGCTCTCACCATTTTGGCCTATTCGTGACAATTTGTGAGAGGTATACACCCACAGCAATCAAGTCGTTTAGAGAATGTGAACATATACATATGCGTACCTTTAGATAGAGAGAAGGCGAAGTCCGCGTCTGCCACAGAAAGGGGCCTTGTTTTTTCTTCGCACATGGACGGGTGGACTTTCCGTTTTCATGTCTACAGCAGTACCACAATATGGGTTTTCGTTGCGAGCGCCGACGTTCGATTTTCCTTCAAGGGGCGGGGCCGAGAAGGTAGTGAGTAGAGGTCAATACTTTTTGTCTTTTGCCAGACCACATCAACAGTTCATGGACAATATCGACTCACTTGTTTCCGGGATAATTTTTCTGCCTTGTACAATGTAGGCGCGAAGGGTTGTTGTATCAACGAACCGCTGTGGTATGTTATTGCGACCAATTGTTTGTTCAGGCGCCCCCTTTGTCTAGGCAGCGACAGACAATATCCTTGCCGGCAGTGGGCAAGCCAGAAAGCAAAATTTCTCCTTATCCGAACGCTGCTACTGCTGCCTTCTGTGGCCAAGAAAGTATGGTACCCGAGCCCACGTTACTCACAAGCCATTCTTGGGATGCATCTTGCCGTGCGTGTATTTGCCGAGCGAGCTGCAAACTCCCACTACAACAATTATGCCGTCGCGCTTGGCAAGATCCCTGCTACCTTTCTTTTCGACAGACGACATCCACTGCTCTGCCATGGCTTTGTAAAAGGGTGCGGTTAGTGCTCCGTCTCGGAGATGGAAGTGCGCGATTTGAAGGCATCGTCTCCAACATTTATAGACGTAGACGTAAACAGCAAGCGCCACGTTGTAGATTTGATCCCCCTCCCCCCCCCCCCCTGCCTTCTTCAATTTCCACGGTGGTATCAATGCAGGTAAGAATGTGCTAACCCTCCTTTTCGAGAGGGATAGCACAGGTGGTCCTTGGTCGATGGTTAAACACCCACCTAAGGCAAGCAACAAGCAGGCCGCCCCGGCGACGCCACCCTTGCCTCATACTTCTACAACGCAACAAAAGTGAAGTACCCCGCTCCACTCCATTCCGCGTCTCCCCACCACCGTCAATCCAACCAACCAACGTTGCCCGACTGAAACTCAGGAGTCGTTTACGGCCGTGGAGCGGTGCCCCCAGCCCGTGATCGCGGCGATCCACGGGGCGTGCGTGGGAGGAGCGGTGGACTTGGCTTGCGCCTGCGACATTAGGCTCTGTTCTGAGGACGCGGGATTCTGCGTCGCTGAGGTCAAGGTCGGCCTAGCGGCGGACGTGGGGACGCTACAACGAATGCCCAAGGTGTCCCTCTTGACTTTGTCAGCTGCACCATTTTGTTTTGTGCTGTTTTCATATACTTTTTCGTGCCTGAATTTCCAGAGCTCAACATGTGTAGTGCGTGTCCAAAGACCACATTTATACACGTTTTCAAAGGACCGTATACTGCAACGAATACGATTACACTGTGCGTAAGGCCAACGAGACAGATGTTTTTGTTGCCATCGCTTGTCTCCTTCGGTCTGCTGGCGGGACTGCCTGTCGGGGGCTCATCGATTGACCGAAACAACAGAACAATGAACGAAACGTCATCGACAACGCCAACACCAATAACACCGACAACACCGACAACAATCTTCACACACACACACACACACACAAACACAACACACCACCACCACCACCACCCTTGCATGAAAGCTGAAACGCTAACGTCATACATCACAACTGACTAAATAACAACACCGCAGATAGTGGGCAACGAGTCGCTGTGCAGAGAGCTCGCCTACACTGGACGGACGTTCGGAGCGGCCGAGGCATCACGCATGGGGTTTGTCTCCCGTGTCGTCGCTGCCCCCGAAGCAGCAACCGTTGCCGCCGCCGCCGCCGCCGCCGCCGCAGCTGCCACGGCAGGTGGTAAACCGCGTGCCGTGGCGGCGTCGGCGGCGTCGGCAGGAGTATCACCCCGTCGCTCCCAACGAGCAGAAGTCGTCGCCGCCTCGATTCTGACGGCCTCGGAGATAGCCAGGCAAAGCCCCGTTGCCGTCTTCGGCACCAAGCGTAACCTCCTCTACGCGCGGGACCACAGCGTCGTTGATGGGTTGGAGTATGCGGCGACGTGGAGCGGGGCGGCACTCCAGGCCGGGGATCTGAGCACGGCCATGCGTGCGGCGGCTGGAAATCCGAAACGAAGTGGTAGGAGAGAGGCGGGAGCGGGAGCAGAGGCGGGTTCGCACCCGCATTTTTCGAAATTATAGCGGTCTGCGGCAGGGGGGTGGGGGGGGTTGCCGCAAAGGCTCGAGGGTCAAGGAAACAGGGCGAAGCGGCGGCGAAGGCATTTAATTCGTCGGGTGTACAAGTTTTACCGAAGGGGGGGAGCATGGTTGTGGTTGATTGTCTCGATCTTTGCACTGCCGTACGTCGTGTTGCCCAGCGTATATGGTGTTTTGCGTTTGTGTGCCTTGCCCGTGTTGATGCGGCAGTGATGATACGGTCTGAGGCACCATGCGCATTTTTGTATTTTGGAATACCGTAAGTAATAGCTCGCCGGGAGTATAAATTGGTGTATTGTTATCCCACAACTGTGTTCATCATCAGCAAGGTGTGGGCGATCGGTGAATGCATGAATGATAGTTACGAGGGATATTTGTCGTCTGCGCTACGGGTGAGGGTGTGTTTGTTGATCAATGTTGGATTGGTTTCAGAGACTAATGGACAACATCACAGGAATGATTTGCACAGGGCACGCTCACGCTGTGTATGGACGCACTATCGTCCACCTACCCTTACCTTCCCGGGGAATGAGGAGATCAAGGGATAGGAGGAGGAGTAGGACGAGGAGAACGGCCGTAGCGTTGACCACCAGAACCTTAGGGGGTGCATCAACGCATGTCACTGTGGGCCACTGGTTCTGGCGTGAGGTTCGCGGTACCTGTTGTCAACGTGTAGACTATGTAGTATCAACGGGTATCGCACGGATTTGTCCTGCTGGTTTTAACGGAGGCCCGCTTGGCTGGTCCTGTGTTTAGGTTTGGCTTGACTTATTTGACCTTCAGTAGAACTCTTTGGCTACATTCACGAGATCCTTCAGGGTCAGGGCCGAGCGTTGCTTCCTATTTTGCATCTGGGCGAGGAACGAGGTGAGGGCCAGCTTGTTTCTGCTGGAGAGGAGCAAGGTTGGCGGGGTACTGTAGTTTTCCGGGTGATGGGTGAAGTGAAGGGAAGGGAAGAGATTGTTGGTTGGTCCTGCGAGCCGCGGCTTTGCGTTACTTGAGTGTTGGGGCGGGGTGCGTGTGTGTATTGTCGAAGGTGTACGTCCGCGTGACAGCAGGGAAGGGGGAGCCGGTCAGGCAAGGGCAGGTATGGAGGGGCATCGGATGGCACCCTTCGTCTTCACTCTGGAGGGTCGTGAGATGGACGGAGCCATTCCTAGTCGGTGGATGCCAAATGATGATCTAATCGCCGACGCCAGTAAGGACACAGGCTGCCCTCGTTAGAAGGAGGTCAGGTCGTTTGGGAAGTGTTTACCCACTACCGAGGGCATGCAGTCTTCTTCTTGCGCGAAATTGGCAAGGAGAATGCCACGGAAGCGAGAGGGGCGGGAGGAAGACATGCAGCAGGTGGCTTTGAACGAGTCGAATCCAAAGAGCGCGGTTTCTTGCTGTCCAGCAATCAACAAACGGATCAACAATTTAACAATCGACATTTGCTCAAACCGTATCTTACTACACCCATGTACCTGTCTGTGATATCCGAATGTCAGCTATCTGCTTGTAAAAACTGTGGACTTCGTAAGCCATTTTGGGTCACACATGCCTCGTAAGAGTCTGTGGACGGACGGACGTGTGGCACCGATACCTCTACAACCACAGTAAATGCGGGGTTAAACACTGCTGACCGCTTTGTTTTTTACTGACCCCGCATTTACTGTGGTTGCCCCCCCCGGCAGTCTGACGGTGTCGCCCCTGCAGTATGTCTACTACAAACTTCTGTCGCTCCAACCAACGGCTCGCCGGTGTGTCTATGCAGTATAAAAAGGTGAAAATCATTTTTTTCGCCCCTTCACAGACAGATGATGGACGCTGTCGCCGTGTTACTCCAGTAAACTTTTGTCCCACCCATCCATGCGCGGACACCCATCCATGCGGTTCATTCGTTTATCCCTTTCTGCCATCGTCATGGTGCTGAGTGCAATTGGTCAGTATATACAGTAGACCTCGGTCTCAAGCTCTGTGTACTGGCAGTGACAGAGTGACAGCAGCGCATACCGGTTGATTGTCCGGATCCCCCCCCCATCCCTGCTCCTTCCTTTCCTAATAACAGAGACCCCCTGCCGCGCTCCCGCGTGGGCCAGCGCGCTGGCTGAGTTCAACAAGGGCGGGGCGGTGCTGCTGGCAGTTGGTAGGTGCTGGCTTCATGTCCCTCGCCGGTCAGCTTTCCTGATCAGACTCAGCTACGCGCTCGTGGTAGTACATATGTGAGTCAACCTTAGAGTGTGGAATCCTGCGGGGGTTTTGATAACCCAATGGTGAGAGGAGTCACAGCTATTAGCTGCTGCGGATGGATTGTCCAAATGGTCTCTTGGTGACCTTCACGTCTTCTTACACATTCTTCCGCCTCTTGGTTGGTCTTGCGCAAACAGAGCGCCGAGTCGAACTAATAAGCTTGAGAGCCTTGCCATCTAGCGCATCTTCGTTGCTCGTCTTGGGCGTGAGAGGTAGAGTTGCCGTGCCGTTGAGCACGCAGTTTTGTTCTCGGTGTTGTGAGCGAGGGAGGAGGAGATCATCATGTAGATCCTGCCTGCAGCCTTCTTTTTTCTGCGGTTGAGAGACCACGGCGTGGTTGATGGTTGACGCCTTTGGGGTATTGGCACTCGCATTTGTTCTAGTTGGCATGACGTGTACTTCGAGAGTATGGAGAGGTACGCGTGGGTCTTTAGTCTTGCAATAGAAGCCGGAAATTAAGACACTCGTTTGGTATACATAGTCTATATCCTGGTGGCGGGAGTCGAAAGATGAACATGCATTTATTTTTGATGGTCGCAGGATCCCCCGCCGACTCTCACTTCTCCTCCCGCGTGTTCATGTTATCCTTGGATGGATATAGTGGCAGCCCGTGTCTAGTGTCCTCGCAAGAAAGCGAGGGCCAGCATCGTGGAAAAACAAGAGATCAGATGTGACCATGTACTCTATATGCTCATTCGACACTGCCACGCTGCGTAAACGTTGGGTGGGGCAGGCACTCCCTGTAGATTGCTGCATACCCGTTGCGGGTCAGCGCACGGTCCGGCGTTTCCGCACGGTCCGGAGTTACCGCACAGGGGTGCGATGACTCGCAACCTACAGCAGTAGGGTAGTAGTTGAGTGCCAGCGATTTCAGGGCAACTTTCACCCCTCCCTGCAACCATGCCAGTGCCGGCATGGAGCTCTGCTGTAGGGTAGGTAGGTCATCGTCGCATACCACACGTGGAGGTATGAAGGAAATGAAACACACATTTGGTATTTCCATTGGATTGGCAAACTTGAACATTGTCCATTCAACCAAGACACGAGAAGAAAATCAGCAGCCATCAGCCACAACAACGAACAGCAGTAAGTACCATGGACCAGCACCATGGAACAGCAGCAATATTGTGCCCATTTCTACTTCTTTCGCTACGAAACAAATTTCAACCCCGTCACTGTCAAGTAAGTAGTAGTACTACCAGAAACGCCTAACAGCGCCAACCTCCGTACTGAACTGCTGGGATGCACACACAAGCATGTTCGGGCAGCCAACCTGCCAATTTCAATACTGGTGTGTGTATGTACTTTCTCGAAAACCTAGCATCCATCGGGCTAACTGCTGTGGTTGGCTGACGTGTGCGCGTGTGTGTACGTTGCGTGTGGAGCCTGCGACCGCAGCACAACTGAGGTGTCCGTGCGTTTGCAAAGTTATTTCTTTCAAGTACCGCGCATACCGGAGTTATCGCACAGGGGTGTGCGTTGAAAATTCTTGATAATATCGCCTCCAGGGTTTACTCAGGACCGCACATACTGGAGTCATCGCACAGGGGTGTGCGTCATGTATCGAAACCAAATTATTCAAATCAATTTCCGCACAGGGTGTGGAGTCATCGCACGGTCCGGAATCATCGCACAGGGGTGCGATGGAAATTAAATGGCGAAATTATTTTAAAGCCGACCGCACGGGGGTGCGCTGACCCTCAACCTTACGGTACGTACCGTAAGGATGCAGGTCTTGGCACACTTGTGTGGTCGTCTTTTTAATGTTGCCGCTCTCAGATTCTAGACGCCAATGCGTGCTGAAACTCCGATGTCTGTGCGAAAATTGAATTCGCCAACTTGGACTACACTAGAAACAGCCTCCTTTTTTTGCCTCTTATAATATTTTTTTACAATAACTAACCCTTCTATGTACTGCTGCAGTAGTGCTGGAAGCCCAAATGGAGTCACGTTGGGGACACAGCACTCAACTGCCTATTAACTGCACTGTAGTCACTCTGGGCTCCGCTGTGTGTGCAACGCACGTGAGAACCCTTGGTCTATCTGCTTGGCTGAGGTGGTACGCTGTGTGATGCCTCTCGTGGGCCTCTGACCTGCTGTACACATCTCCCAACCCGCGTGCCCCCTAGGTCGTAAAACTGCTGTACATCGCCTGGTACTGGATTTTTTTGCTGACTTGGCATCAGTATGAGAAGTGCCCCCACGTGTTCTGGGGACACTTTTCATACTGAAGTCAAGTCACCGTTAACCTGGCAAGGTAAAGGAGCTCAGATTCTTTGGAGGGACTGTAGCCCCTCGACCAATGGCTACAACACATTTGTTCGGAGGGACTGGGTACTACTTGTAACAGTGGTATTATTAGCGCTATCGACTCAGTCAGGTGGTTTACTCATGCTTCAGCGTAACAACAACTGGCTTGGGTCCCATTAGTTTTGGTTAGTTTCATGGGGATCTTAACATTTGAGTCAAGGGGGGTCTAATCAAGGCGGGTCTAGCTAATCAAGACGGGTCTAACCATTCATCGACTCACAGACTGGTTGCTCTTAGCAGTGGGTTAAAGTTCCTTTTCCGAGATTGGGCGTGATAACAGTGGTGATGAGCACCTCAAACACGAGTGAGTGAGACGAAACCCTGGAGGGGTTCCGTCAATGATTCAGGTACACCCTAAGGTATACCCTAGCCCTCCTTGAACCATCGCAAGATGGAATGAATCTATCCCAATATTTAGCGCCAGGTCATGCTACCGTGACACACTTCTTCTTGTAGAAAAGTTAAATTATCTTCCGCATGGCACGTGAGATGACTTCGATTCGTGCGATTCTGACAAACATCAATGTTGCGATGTGGGGTGTTTTGAACGCACACCCCCGTGCCAAGATG